CAAACCATCTGAGCAACTGCCCAAATGCGAAGGAGGCACAGTGTCCCCAGGTTGATTGGGCTCCTACACCACCATTGTAGTACTAACTATAGATTTACCTTTGTCAAGGCTAGTTGCCCCAAGAGGTTGGGGAGCAAGAACAACCGGCCTTTTGTCTGACTGCTTGTAGCAGTTAGACAGATTATGTCCAAACGTTTGGCAACCAAGACAAACCTTGGGTTTCCATTGATACTCAACCCCAATTATTGCCATAATTGGGTTGCCCCTCTCATCACATCTCTCCAACTGTAGGTCGAATGACTCAGTTAGGTCGCGATGAGCATTGATCTCCACACATATGCGTGCGAAACTAATCCTCCTCCTTGTTACAGTAAGAGAATCAACATATAAAGGTTTGCCAACCGCACTTTCAATATAACTAATACCTTCATCCATCCAGAATTGCAGGGGAATATTATACAGCTTCACCCAAACGGGGATGACAGAGTGATCCTCCTTTGAGACATCAACATCTGACTGCTATTTCTTAAGGAATAAAGGCCTACCTTGGAAGAACCAAAGGCCAGCTTCCAACACATTGATTCTTGCCTCCTCATCCTCAAATTTGAAGAAATAGAAACCATGTTCATTAGCCAGGACCTCCAACAGTCCCATTTTGTCCCAGATCTTATGGGCAATGAAAGAAACTGTCGAAAATGACAATTTCTTCTCAATGAAGTACCCTACAAAACAATTTCTCCATAAGGCACAACCTTTGCTTGCAACCTCAGGTGGGGGTTGAACAACAACTCGGTTGTTGACTCTTTTTGGTTCAAAAAATTGCAGTTTCATAGAGTCTTGCTTGAACTTGGTTGTTTCTGGGTTTGGGCGATTCCTGCCATACTTTAGCAAATGATTCCACAGTACATTTGTAGCAGATTTGTGCTGAGCAGAAGGGGCTTCCCCTATTTTAGTAAGAATTTTTGTCTTTTGAGGCTTGTTAGGTAATGTTGTAGAACCCTCCACCAGCTCGGCTATGGCGGCAACATTAATGGGAGCATTAACCTCTTTAAGAGGCGGATCTTTTTTTTGGTTGGGCATTGACGCCACCTGGGACCTACCGTCCTGGCTTGTAACAGAGTTGGAGTAATAGTGTTGGTTATCATTGCCCATAGTGGGGCATATCAACAGAGTCAGTTATTGAGGGTGCAGAATCACCCGCTACGTGGGCGGCATCAGCCCTAGGTTTAGAAATGGTCCTGGCTTACAACGGTGTGGGGATTGAGGTTGTGAGTGGTTTGTCTTTAATGGGTCTGAGGTTGATGGTATCTTAGTTATCAATTAGAAATTGATTTGCTTGTTCTTTTTTCAAGCGTTTCATAACTTTTTTTTTTTTTTTTTAATATCAGATTTATATTAGAAGAAGACAACGAGGATGCAAACAACAACGACCGGGTGGCTATTGGGTGGTGTTTATGTGAAACAAAATGGCATGATCTAACATTGTTCATGGCATGCCAAAATGTCATTACTATCTCATTGAAATGGCCTAGCTCTAGAGCCGGCCATTAGACACCCAAATATTTTCCGGTTTTACGCCCAAAATCCACCAATGTATTTTCTTTGGATTTCTTAATAACTTACCTGCTAGGAATTTACGTGAGATCTATAGTCAATACGAGGAAAAAATAGAAGTGTATAAAAGAAGATCTGAATTTGTTCAATGACACTACAACAATCCAAATTCTCACAGTTTCGAGCTATATATCTTCCCTTTTTGCACCGTGTGTGAATATTGGAAAATTAATTAAATTTCTTACACCCTTTTTTTTTGGGTATATTGGAAAGGTTCAAAAATTAATAAAAGCCTCTCACATAGGAGACACTAACACTATCATTTCTCAAAAGCTCTCCTATTGATTTAGGTGGGGAGTTGAGGAGCACCAATCCATCATTCTGCTTGACACCCAGTTTTGTGAGGTAGTCAGCGCAGAAGTTTCCTTCTCTCCGAGTATGCTGGATGGGGCAGTTGAGCAGGGTGAGCAGCCTCTTGCATTCAACGATGAGCCCTTTCTCCGGTGAGTTTCTTCCCATCTTGATGTGAGTAGTCCATGGGCATCCAAGGAGTCAGTTTCCACAATGATATTCATCATCCCTTGAGACTGAGTAAACTGAAGGCCCTTGTAGATTGCCCAGAGCTCAGCTTGAGCACTAGAATAGTTGGGAAGTCTTCCATAAAAGCCAAGTTGCCAGACTCCTTGTTCATTTCTAACAATTCCTCCAATCGCTTTCTTACACCCAAAAGAATGAGAAAAGAAGATTAAAAAAAAAAGAAGAGAAAAAAGCCTTAGCCCTATTGACGTTTAGTCCAAATTAAAGAAGCCAGGTTTATCATGAACAATTTCAATTTTTTAACATATGAGACCAAGGTAGGCCTCATGAGAGATTTACCCCTTATGAATATTCTAATCTCGGTGTAGATGGTCCGCTATTTATCAGACTAGGAAGGCGTTTAATTGAGATACATGCAAGCTGATTCAGACATCCCTGATCGTCGAATAAAAAAAAAAGAAGAAAAAATGGCTAGGGTAGGCCTTGCCCTTCCCCTCTTTGGACTAAAAATAAAAAATGGACGAATTTGAGCCAAGTAGGAATGCCTATACCCTTTTGTTTCTGGATTTTTGGCTTCCTTATTGTAAGGATTGTTCTTGCATACTACATATAAGTCTATTGCTTAGAACATCGAGAATTGTTTCAACTACGTTCTTTATAATCTCATATATAATTGCCCTATAATTTTTTTTTTTTTGGAACAATAATTGCCCTATAAATTCAAAATGCCTAAACTTACTTGTAAATCACGTTCATCTTGTATGTCTCTTTTGTAAGACTTAAATTTAAGACTAGAAGATATTATTATCCACTAAAGTCCTGTCACCCGAGTGGAACGGTAAATTATATTGAAATTAATGGTGCTCAATCTATTTACCCAACTCCAAAACAACCAGGAATGAAGACCAGAGGGAATGGGTATGAATTTAAGACAGAAAGCACGTTCAATGCTGTAGATGAAACATAAATAGAAATATAAGTGGTTTATCTCAGTCAAAGTACTGAGAATACATTCACTGTAAGGAAGACTCTTGCTCTGGAGAATCATATTGCTTGAGAAAGAAGTTTGTTATTATGAAAAGTTTGACTGAGAGCTTTTTATAGAGTGTTTCCTAGATTGCTGTTGGTAACCCCTCTTTCTCTCTCTCTCTCTCTTTCCTATCTTTTTGTATATAAATTACACAATCGTCTTGTTCTCTATTTGTACATCTTATTATTAGGGTTTTACAATGGTTCCTTTCCTGACTAATTCTGTGGTTCCCTTCTCATTTGTCTTGTAGGTGAACCTGTCATTCTGATGTTTTTTAGCTCCCACTACGCCTTGAATGGAATATATGAGACATCTTCACTATTGGTGAATATTCGTTTATTAGGGTTGTCAAGTATTATCCCCTTATAACCTGTCCACGTGTTGAAACACGGTCACTTATGATTCCCGAGTAGATACTTATTGTTGAGTTTATTAACGCTGAGTTGACGTCTATTCGGGGCTAAATGATTCTGGGCTTTCATGGAGCTGAGTTATGGCGGTGCGCTGGATTGTTTTAGGTGAGCCCATAAAGGGTTTTGGACTTGGAAAGGGGCCCAGACTTAAATCCAACATCATTAGAAATGCTCCAGTGTATGTCATGATTTTATTGAGGGAGGAATAGAAAAAGGAAAAAAAAACTCAGCAAATTGATCATCAAACAAGAAGATAATTAATGCAACTCTTATTTTCTGCTACTTTGTACATGTATACTTAACCTTATTTACTGACTTGATTCACTATGATATTTAGATTGATTGTGGGTCCCATCAAACGTTGAAACTTGCTATTCATCCAAAGATTCCAATAAAACCACATTATCAGGTCAACAAATAAAGATTAAATTTTTAGATCTAAATAGTATTATTCCTGAAGAAAGTTGTAACTTGCATGCATGCATATGCATTCAATGCACATATTAATATCAACTACGTATTTTGGTTCTTCCATTACATTTTCATTCACTCACCATGGATTTAGGTCGAGCCAAATATTTATAAGTGGGTCTTTTATCAATCAGTGATGAGTGATTAACTATTAAATAAAATCGAGTAAAAATATAAGGGAAATGCTATTGGGGCCTTAATTTTGGACCTAAAAAAGGGACCTGATGATGTGGTAGCTAGGAATGTCAATGGACCGAAGTGGGGACGGGGGGTATAGTCTTCATCCTCGTACTCGCTTAAAAAATCCTCGTCCATTCCCGGTTCACCCCCACTAACGGGTATAATTTTCATCTCCATCTCCGTCCGTGGGTAAATTTATAATCCCCTTCCCCGCTTCTCTTATACCCACCTAAGCCCCAAGCTAAACATAATCATTAATGCATTTGATGACCCCAAGTAGTTTGCCCACATAACTTGTAGAATAACACAAATATCTAGAACATCTCTAAAACTTATAGTTTGTCTTAGAAGGTAGCAGCCAGCAGGTTGAAGGCTAGAACAATGTTTATTTCAAACATTTTGACCTTGGAAATGCTTTACTAAAATATTCCGATACACTTTAGTGGTTGATGATCTAAACTTGTCACCATCACAAATGAATGATATATATATATATATATATTTATTTATTTATTTAACGGGTAACGGGGACGGGACGGGGGTAAGGATAAGTCCATCCCCACTTCAAACCCCGTACGGGTTTATACGGGCATCCCCGTATACGTCCACCGTCCAATACGTATAGTCCATCCCTGGTCCAAACGAGATGAGTTTGGACGAATATCCATTTTTTTCTGGTCCACTGCCATCCCTAGTGGTAGCTGAGGTGTCATTACTAACTCACCAATTAAGCCACCTAATGTCTTTAAAAAAAAAACTTAAAAAATCAACAACTTAAAAAAATTTGATTTCATAAAAAAAAATCAGTCTTCTTCTCACATTCTCTCTCCCCAACCAGCCCTAAAATTTCTTCCCCAAAGCCTTCTTCTCACATTCTCTCTCCCTGAACCATTCAATCGACACCAGCCGCATGAACGACGAGCTTCTTCATCGAAAAAATCCACCTGAACGACGAGCCACAAGCAGTAAACCGACGCTGTTCTCCTCCTCTTGAACTTCGACATAGTGTCCCAATTGCTAATCTTCAATCGACGCCGGCCGCATGAATGACAAGCTTCTTTCCCAAAAAAAACCAACCTGAACGATGTTCTTCCTCCTCATAAACCAACCCATTGTCCAGTAAACCAACGAGCCACAAGCAGTCAACCAACCCATTGTCCAACACCATATCAACAACCCTATGAATTGTGGATGAATATTTTTTTTGAACTGATTTGTTGATGAAAATGGGGACCATGGTTTGTGTGCTTGAAATTGGGTATTTTGGGAGGAAAAGTTTGTGTAGGAGTCTCAAGTTTGGTTTCGCTTACAAACTGTTCGATGAATTGTCTGAGTTGCTGTTTGGGAAAAATGTCACCTGGGATTAATGTTGCTGTTTGGGAAAAATGTTGCTTGGGATTAATGTTGCCTGTGATTAATGTTGTTTTTTGAATTGATGGGTTGCTGTTTGGGAAAAATGTTGCCTGGGATTAATGTTGGTGGTAGCTAGAGATTTTGAATGATTAAGGCCAAGAAATGGCTTACATGTTTGTAAAAATGCCTGGATGCATTTGAGTTTTGTATTCTTTGATAGAGATCTTGGTTGTTGTAATGCTTTGTTGCAGTTTGATTCTTGTAATCTTTGATTCATATCAATAAAAAATTTTCTTTACCCAAAAAAAAAAAACCGCAACCACTCAAGTATACAAAGAACAATGCACAATGTACAACAAAATTGAGGAGGAAGGATCATTACCTGTGAAAAATCAAAGGAACAACCCCACAAATCAGTTTTTTTTTTTTTTTGAGAATTTTACTGAACAAATCTCAAATTTACAATAATCAAAAAACAAAAACTGTTTTCACAAAAAAACAGTAACTGTTTTAACAAAAACAGAAAAAACTGTTAAAGCACAAAACAGAATTCTGATGCCAAAAACTAGACAAAACAGTTTAAAATTCCTCTTGTACAGTTGCTGCAAACAGTTCAGCCTCTGAAAACCTCTGTTCAACTACAATGCCCGCAAAAACCTACTAAGCATCAATCATGAGTCATTAAAGAGGTAAAATGCATTTGTTAGAGAGGTACAACATCCTTCCAGCAAGTGGTAAGATACCACAACCAGAAAATCAGTAGAAATCCCATTATGAACAGTTAAGGATGCTAAAAAATCAACTATCACATTAGCTTCATACAACCAGTAGCATTCATACAACTATCACATTATCAACCAGTAGCTTCATACAACTATCACATTAGACATTCAGGAACCACACAAACCAATAGCATTCATACAACCACACAAATCCAAGGAACAACCACACAACCAGGATCATTGCCTGTGTAGGCAAAATTCAACCTTAAATTGTATTACAAATATCCAAAGTGGACACAAAATACTACAATCTTCTTTTTGCAAAACTAGACGATCTTCCTCTTTTCTGCACCTGCTATAGGAAAAAAAAATAGTACAATGAATGGTTGATTCAAGTTTAAGAACAAAAACTCAACTTTTGAATAAAAAAACAAAAATTCCTAAATTTCTCTCAAACTCATTAAATATACTTGCCATTAGACGTTGATGTTGAAGACGTAATTGGCAACTCCGAAATGTCTACCATTTCTTTGGAGCTAGAACATGGCATGGAACTAGAACAAGGCACAGGGTGCATACCCTATTTGCCATCCCAAGAAAGATATTGGTTATGGTAAACAATAATAAGAAATTTCATAAATTGAAATTATAGTACAACCATTAAAAAAAAAAACTTCTAAAATGAATTTTAGATTGCTAACCATGAAATGATTTCCAAGACCTCTTTGAGTGACCCCCACATAGCAAGGCCATATTGTTCTATTACAGAAAAAAAAAACAGTAGATTAATACAATAAAAAAATCAACATTGTCAATAAGATAATAACATATACAATTTTCATAACTCACATTACAAAATTGCAAAGAGGAGTATTGACCATCACTTATGCCAATATTAACCGTTTGTGTAATCCGCAAATCCTACATGTTTAGAATTAAAAAATTAAAACAGATCACAATAATAAATAACATCCAAATATTATAATTATAATTTGGATGTTGATGTCATACTGTCATCCCAATATTTTTCTTGTGTTCCAAGTATATCAATCGCTTCACTCATGGGTTGACCATCAACAAGCCCAATGACATCGCTTTCACTCGGTCGACAATCCTACAAAAAATAAAATAACAAAAGGACAAAATTACTACATTATTATTTTAGAAATTGTCATTTTATTCACACCTCTTCTCCTTTAGTGGTATGATTTCCATGCGATAGCGTCTTCTTTTTCGTCTTCTTTTTTTTTCCCTGTAACTTGCTCAACTTTTGATTGCTTCCTTTTGAATGGTGGACGACCTTTGCTTCTAACTGCTAATGGAGTAAGTATATTCCTATCCTTTGATTTATTATTTACATCACCGGAGTTTCTACCAACAATCGAGCTGGGACTTGGTTGATATCTTCCACTACCTCCTTCGCTTTGTTGTAGTTCTCCTTTAGATCATGTATACACTCCATCACAAACGTGCACTTATCTTCATATTCAGCTGCCAAGTTTGCCAACTCGCTAAAAGCATTGCACATTTTATCAAATTGTTCTGCTTCAGGTGTGGCACTCAAACAGTTGTAACTGATTTTAATCTTTCTGTGACATCTTTTTTCACATCCTTCCTCCATCTCCGTATGATGTACTTATCAGGAAAGTGAGTAAATTTTTCTATGGACTAAAACTGCCACTGCATGCTTGCATAATATTCCTCCATGCTCAAACAAGTAACAATTGCACTTCACTTCAGAATCTTTTTCATTGAACCAAACCTTGAAATTTGCACTTTTTATTTTATCCTCAATCATGATATCCTCAGATACGTTGTATTCAGAAATCAAACCTTCCACTTTGACCGAAGTCACATCACAATACATCTTCCCTGTCAATTCGCTTTGGAACTCCTTAAATTTTGAAATAGTGTAAACTCTTTGAACTTGATTCTCCATGTCATAATGGGTTACACAAGGGACTTGCGAAGATAAAGACTTACATTCTTCCTGGTTCTCCTTTTCCACCTTACTTTTCAATGCATTTTTATATTGTTTGACAAATTATTTCAAGGTAGTCTTAGAGTTGACATAGCCATCAAAGAATGAGTTCATACTCTCACTTCGTTGTGTGGTAGACATTCCCGCCCAAAAAATGGTTTTCACAAAGATTGGCACCCAACGACGCCTCTCATTGTACAACCCACTCAACCAATCATTATTATGTAGCATGTACTTTTCAATCATTCCATTCCAATTTTTTTCAAATTCAGTACAACTTAATGAATCATAAACGGCCCTCTACAAGAAATATTTGATGGATTTATACTGCTCATAACCTCTCAACTTTTCAGGCAATTTCTTCATGATGTGCCATAAACACCATCGATGTTTAGCATTAGGAAAAACAATCTCAACTGCTTTTTGCATGGCTTTGTCTTGATCAGTAATTATGGCATGTGGAGCTTTCCAAGACATACATGCAAGCCACGATTGAAACAACCAAGTAAATGTTTCTTTGTCTTCACTGGAGATCAAACCACATCTTAGCAAAGTCGATTGCCCGTGATGATTGACACCTACAAATGGAGCAAATGACATATCATACTTATTTGTCAAATATGTAGTATCAAATGTAATAACATCACCAAACTCTTGATATGCTGCCCTACTCCTAGCATCAGCCCAAAACATATTCCTTAATTGACCCTCATCATCCAAATCCATTGTATAAAAAAAATTTGCATTTTCAACTTGCATCTTTAAGAAATATTTTTGTATTGTAGAGGCATCTCCTTCCTCGAGCTGTAACCGTCTTATTTTCTCAATATAGTTTCTACAATCCTTCTCTAAAAAGGAGATATTTTCATGCCCCCTAGCTTCAACCACAAATGAGATGAAATTTTTATTTAGTCTAATTCCCGCTCGATCGTTCAATTCAAACTTCCTTTTCACATGTGGTCTCATCACTCGATTGCATCGAAAAAATCGGGCTTTGCTTGGACTCAACTCATGGTTATGATCAAGCATGACAGTATTTAGTCGCCACTTTCCATCTGCACACAAAATTGCTAGGACCTTAGCCTTACAACCTACTTTTATGCTTGGATGCGGCTTCAATGGATTTTTTGAAGTGGACTTTGACTTGCCTGATCGAGAACAAACAATAGTCACGTATTTCAACTCACCATCATCCCTTTTTGTTGATGATCTTATCTTCACTGGGAACCCTAACCGCTTACCATAACCCGTGTAATACTCAAGCAACTGTTTATAACTTTCGAACATCATCCCAACCTTAGGCTCGTCTACATCAATTACATTCATCATTTCAGTCACAACATTTTCTTCTATCAACTACAAACTACTTGAAGATTCACCTTCCATTGTAATAAAATTTTACTGCAACACGTGCTTAGTTGATTAACTAGAATTTTGTCTAACACAAAAAATGCCTGAACACCATAACAAAACAAATTTATTTATGCTCCAAAATAACCAGCAAAAGGAAATGATTTTTTTTTTTTGTGTTTGACAAATCTATAAATCAAACCTTTGTTTGTATATATATATATAAATCAAAATAAATAACTAGAAATATAACAATAAAAAATAAATTGAATCAACCTCCAATTACTACCCAGAAAATAAATAAAATGAAATTAACGTACAGTAGAGCCGACTATGGTGGAGTCAATTTCGACAGATGTTCAGGACAATGCGTACTTCGACAAAGAGATGAAGAGGGAAAAGAATGGCTATGACTTCAACGAAGAGATGTAGCCAACTGGAAGACGAGGAGGAAGAACACCGACGTTGATCTCAGATGATGATTACTAAGGAAGATGAAGAATGGAATGGTTTACTGCTTGTGGCTCGTCGTTTAGGTGGGTTTTTCTGGTGAAGAAGCTCGTCGTTCATGCGGCTGGCGTCGATTGACTGGTTCGGGGAGAGAGAATGTGAGAAGAAGACTGATTTTTTTTTGATGAAATCAAATTTTTTTAAGTTGTTGATTTTTTAAGTTTTTTTTTTTAAGACATTAGGTGGCTTAATTGTTGAGTTGGTAATGGCACCTCAACTGCTACATCATTAAGTCCCTTTTTTAGGGCCAAAATTAAGGTCCTAATAGCATTACCCAAAATATAATGGAGAAGATCTTGATCAATCTAGTTACTTGACAGTATATCCAAACTTCACGGCATATTTCACAAGCTTATTCATCTCATCCTCATCGATGAATCCATCGTCGTTGGCATCGGCGTGGTGGAGACTCCACCAAGCCCTCCATTCAGGGATATATGCCCCTAGGTATTTAAAGGCTTCCTTCAGCTCTTCCCTGCACAGTTTGCGATCTCTATTTTTGTCGAAGTTTTTGAAAACTAACTTCAGCTGTTCCTCCTTTGGGGCCATCATTTCTACACTCGTGAGCTGTGGGCGTGGGTAGAGAGTTATGGTTGTCATAGCTAGCTAGAGAGACACCAAATAACTAGGGTACCGTTAGTGTAAGGCGCCCTTAAAACAACTAGAAGACTGGTATACTTTGTAGATATACAAGCTTGCATTTATATAGACGAGGAAACCCATATCTTTTTTTTTAAAAAAAAAACTACGAGGAACTTCTACTAGGTAAGATTACTTTGCTTCCATCCTGTAGAGTAAAAGTTGCATACCTACAATCCCCGCTAATTACTAGATAGGATCAATTCTGGGAGTACCAATCAAAATGTTCGCGTAAATTCAGGCAGATCTAACTAACTCACTACAGATATAATGTGCAACCACATCTTGGAAAGGTGAATTGCCACTTTTGAAGAAATAATGTCTAAGCATCTTATCATAAGGAATGTGATAAGGGAGAAGGAACGTTGAAGAAGGAATCGAACAGGTTCCATGACAAAATTCTTGTATCAAATTCTTCTCTATCATATCAAAAAAGTAATTTGGTATTAGATTTTTTGTTAGTTCAGTTGTATCTGATGGGCCTGGCTTGGCCCAGATCAGAGATACATATTAGATCCAGTTAAAATATATAGGTCAAATTCACCACAAAATCAAGAAATTTCAGTTAGACCAAGCTCACCTTCTTGAGAAACCCCAGCCCATCATTAGTGTATGTGAGAATCTCCATCCGAGGAGAGGGAATCTGTGGAGATGCAGTCATCAGGGGCACATCACCAGTCTCGTGAGATCACCTCGCCCGTTATTAGATAGGGTGAGCTTCAAGGAATTACCCCGCTATCACCTCGCCTATTACGAGGATAAGACGAGCTTAACCGAATCACCCCGCTCCTTGTTAGGATGACGCTTCAGTCAGAGCCCCTTGAAGCCATCTTCACTCACCTATAAATTATAAGCCTCGCCCACACATGGGAGCATCACACAAATCTTAGCACTCTGCACACTTGAGTAATAGGACTCTTCGGTCCCCGTCATCATTTTCAGTAAAATAGGTTACCTAGATCGAATCACTTAATCTTTGTGTTTACTTGTGTTAAGCCTTTCTTACTTTATGCTTGATTAATTTTGTATAAACCCACTTTTGTACATTATTAGTAACTATAGATCATGGAAAAAATTAAGTGAAGTGAAGTGAAATAAAAAGAAAAAAATTTCACAATTTTATTGAATGAAAATATGACGTACAATACCGAAATAAGTGAGTTAGGCCACCCAATGTTCTAACTATAAAAATAAAAATTAAGTTTTTAAAACTTTTTAATTATGTTTAAATTATGAATTTCAGTTATAGTTCTTTTTCCCTATTTAGTGTATATATTAAAGAATAATAATTATTATTAGTTTTATAGGTATTCAAGACAAACAATGAAAAAAAAATAAAAATCAGTTACACGTTACAGGCGAAGGGCCAAAGCCAAACAGTCAAATATTTAAAGTGATTTTTGAAAGCCATGGGTTATACAGCGGCTATATAAAGTTGGATTTGAGAAATTTTTTAGTAGTGTACGAAATCAACACTTCCTATTGCTCAGTAGACTTTCCAATAGCTCATATCATTCTTTTACACTTTGACCTATTTTCCAATTCCTTCCTTTACACTTTGGCTTACCTTTTCTGTTCCTTCTTTTACACTCAACCTACTTTTCAATTATCATTTATTTTATTTTGGGTAACTCGATTCGAGTCAGGTTCATTTCAACCTTCCAGTGGATGTGACCATTGAGAAAGTGCTACTGCGAGCGTCTGGGTTGGATCTTGGAGTCGCTGGTGTCCATCAGTACCCTCACATGGGGAGGCTCAGCTGTTTTAGGACAGTGATCACATGTCTCTTAGACTCACAGGCCAGTTCATTTCAAATTAATTTATTTACTTTATATAAATTGCATGTTTATACATTTTATGTGTTTATTTAGATTGCATGTTATATGATCTAACTATTGTTTGCATGCTTTATTTCGAATTATAACACTTAAAATTATTTTGCTCACATCATAATTCTAATATTTGTTGATTTGGCTAAAAAATTAGTAGCAATAGTTCTTAATTCTAATTATACATCTGTGCTTAAAATCTGTAGTTATTTTTATATTCTAAAGCAGCTGAGTTTATTTGTTGTTAAAAAAAATTAAAAAAAAATGTTTTTTTTGTTTAAAACAGTTTTCTGTGTTACTGTTTTTTAGGAGAAAAAATGTTACTGTTTTTCTATAAAAAAAAAAAAACTGTTCTGTTTTTCTAGAAAAAAAACTGTTTCTGTTTTAAGGAAAGAAAAAACTGCTACTGTTTTCTGAAAAAAAAATTGTTTCTGTTTTAAGAAAAAAAACACTGCTACTGTTTTCGAAAAAAAAAACTGTTTCTGTTTTTTGGAAAAAAAAGTTTTCTGTTTTTCCGGAAAACAGTTTCTGGAATTTAAAAAAAACAGTAGCTAATTTTGAATAGTAATAGAATATCCAAAGGGATCTATAAAAAAAAACCAGTAGTTACTTGCTTTAATAAAATATATATAGCTACTTGCCTTTGAAAAATAAAATTAAAGTTTTAAGAGCTATTACAATAATTTAAACATCTTTCTTAATTTCGTTACAAATAAAGTTTTGACAGCTGACATTGAAATTCAACACAAGTTATTTGCTTATCTCTTATTATTTCTTTGCCCTTGAATTTTAAATTAAAGATGACTAGATTAGAAGAAGCTAATGTGTCAAACTCGAAAAATTTACTGGTCAAAATTTTCGTAGGTGACAAAAACAAGTTCGTTATTGGTTGACCGTATTAGGCTTAATTTCTACTATAGAAGAGCCTCAATCTAATCAAGAGTTCTCTTCATGGTATACCCCTGAACAAATTGAATATCACTGTCATAATAGGATTCTTAGTGCTCTTTCTGACCATATTTATGATGTCTACCATAATACTATAATAACCGCCCAAGAGCTTTGGAACACTTTAGAGGCAGAGTATGGAATTGTTGATGCTGGAATTAAACGGTTTATAATCTCTAATTTCAATAATTATAAAATGGTGGAGAATAAACCCGTTGGTGATCAAATTCATGAATATCAAGAATTTTTGAGGAAAATTGAAAAGAGTGGAACTACATTTAGTGAAGATTTTAAAGTTTCAAGCTTAATTGATAAGCTTCCACATTCTTGGGATAATTTTGCTAAGATCCTTAGACATAAGCAAGGAGAGGTAACCTTGACCCAAACTATAAACGCGCTTAGGGTTGAAGAGAGGCATAGGGTTAGTACAAACTCACAAAATGAGAGACTCCCTAAGGTAAACCTAGTGGAAAATAGTAACAACAACCATAACAATTTTTGACCTAGGGGAAGAAATTTTAAGAATAAGAGGTTTAATAGTCGTCCTAATAATGGGGCTAATATAAATGTTTGCTTTGATCATGATTTATTTAAATCCTATCAGAATTCAAGTGGAAGAAGTGTAACGCTAAGAAATGATTCTGTCGCACAAGTACTTGGAATTGGAGACATTGAGTTAAAGATGACATCTGTGAAGACATTAATCTTGAAGGGAGTGCGACATGTTCCTGAAGTTAGAAGAACTTTAGTCAGTGGGTCGTCTTTAGTCCAACAAGGTTAAAAGGTTGTAATGGAGTCAAATAAAGTTGTAATAACTAGGAATGATATATTTTTTGGTAAAGGATATGTTTGTGATGGTTTATTTAAATTGATTGTTCTTTTGGAAGTTAATGAAATTTCTCATCAAGTTTTCAATGTTGAATCTTGCAATGTGTGGCATGGAAGATTAGGACATATAAGTCTAAAGAAAATCAAAAGGATGATGGATCTCAATCTTATTCCTAAATCTCATGTAGATTTCAAACATAAGTGTGAAATTTGTGTACAAGCCAA